GAGGACATCTGAAAAGAATGCACCAGTTCTGGAAAGAACAACATCCAGAATCAGAAATAACCGAACAGAGGCTAGCAGATGAATGTCGATTTATAATACAAAATAAAGTATTCACAGAAGTAGAAGAACTGCAAGGCTCTATCCAGGGCAAAGAAATCGAATCAGTATCTGAGCCAGTATCTCAGACTATAGAGGCAAACCAGGGGGAGTCAGCAATAGAGGAAGCCAGCCTAACTACTGAATTGTTTTCATTCCCAAACCAGGCACCCTCTCCTCTGTCTTCTCCTCAGAAAGAACAAAGTCTTCTAACTAAAAGACAAGAGGAATTGAAACAAAGAATAACTGAGCATCTAGAATAGCACAAAAACAACAGAATAAGGTTGCCTGCATTGAAGCTTGTTAAAAAGAAACAGCACAAGTATTAAAAGATGCTAATACTGTAATATCAAATATAAGCACCAGCTCATTGCAAGAAACAAACCAACTAATGTACAGTGCAGCTGCAGTGATACTTAATACCGTGGGTGCAAAATCAACAAACAAGAAAAAAAGTCAAACAGTGCACCACCAAAATGGAAGATTAGGTAGGAGAATAAGATCAGCATGCTAAGATCAGATGAAAGCAAGCCAGAACAGATGAAAGAAAAGAAGCTGAAGAGCAAGAAGACCAAAGAATACCTGATAAAGAAATATCACCTAGAAACAAGGAAGATCAAAGAAGCACTAGAAATAATAAAGCAGCAAATAATAGCCATAGCCAAAAAGATTGGCAGATACGAAGCCCGAATTACATACTATAGGCAGAATCTTTGATTTCAATCGAATCAGAAACGTTTCTATCAATCCATCAACAGAGAGACAATGAACCAGTCAACACCTGACAAAGAGGAAACAGTGCAATCCTGGGCGCAGCTATGGGACAACCCAAAGAAATACAAGAATGTAGTCTGGACAAAGGAGGTGGATAAGAATAAAACAGAAGCTGAAATGAAAGAACTTGTAATAACAGCAGAAATGATGGGAAAAGGGCAAGGAAGATTAAGAATTGGTCAGCACCAGGTGAAGATGAACTGCATAGTTTTTGGTTGAAACATCTGACTGGTCTGAACCCACTCATTGCCAAACAGTTTAACAACATACTGCAAGGAGGTGAAACTGAAGATTGGTCAACATCTGAGAAAACTTACCTGATAATGAGAGGCCCAACAAAAGGGGCAACACCAGGCAATTACAGGCCAATTACCTGTTTACCAACAACTTTCAAGAGCCAGAATTGAGAAGACAGCAACAGACAGTAAATGCCACCTCTGCAAAGAAGCTGAAGAAATAGTTGACCACCTAGTTAGCTGCTGCAAAAAGATCACACAGACTGACTACAAACAACAGCATGACAAAGTAGCAACAATGGTGCACTGGAATACCTGCAAGAAATACCATTTGCCTGCAAGCAAAAACTGGCAGGACCACAAAACTGACAAAGTAATAGAAAAAGAAGAAACGAAAGTGCTCTGGGACTTTAGAATTCAGACAAGCACCTGCCACACCACCCCCCAGACTTAACAATTCTTGATAAGAACGACAAAAAAGACTGGATAGTGAACACTGCAATACCTGGAGACAGCAAAGTAGAAGAGAAAGAACTGGAGAAAATCACAAAATAGAAAGACCTGCAAATAGAAATAGAATGACTATGGCAAAAAAAAGCAAAGATAGTACCAATAGTTATAGGCGCCTTTGGCAATCCCAAAACATCTGGAGCACCACTTGAACACCATTGGCATTGACAGAATTGAAAAATCAGTCAATTGCAAAAGGCAGCTTTACTTGGAACAGCCTATATCCTGCGACGATACCTTTAACACCATCAAACAAGAATATTTGCCTATCCCAGATCCTTGGGAAAGCCTCAATAGGTGGATAAAAATGCCAAATCCAGTCTAAACATCTGGCTGACTGTGCAACCAACCATAATAATATAATAATTTATTGAATTTATATGCTGCTTGACTCTCAGCAACTCTGGGTGGTTTACAGTTGTTGAAACATTTAAAAAACAGAGAACAATACAGAAAACACAAAAACAGCAAAAGACAAAGGGACAATGATGGCAGAGGGGAACAGAAAGGAAGAAAGGGCTATCGATCACCCTCTCCAAAGGCCTCCTCCCTTTGAAATCCCACTTTGCCCATAGAACTCTCTGTGCTTTGGTACGCTGATAGGCCTTCAACCACACAAGCTTGCTTTTAGGAGGAATGATCATATAGCAGTCATCAGACTGATATGGACATCACTGTGGGAACTGACA